GAACCCGGGGCCTTGGTGTTATCAGCACCTCACTCTCCCGAGTGAGCCACGGGCCAGCCCAGCATTCTCATTTTAATAGCCCTAACATTCCTTCTGCCTTTCTCTCCCCTTACTCCTCTAATAATTAATAATAATAATAATAGCAACTAATGAATGTAGCAATTATTGAATGTTTATAATGTGCCACACACTGTGCTAAGACCTTTACGCAATTTAATCCTCACCCTAGCATTGTGAGGAAAGTATTATTACAGATGAGGAGCTAGAGGACCAAAGAAGTTAAGCAACATGCCTGTATTAGTCTGTTGCTTATAACAAAATACATGGAATTGGGTGATTTATTAGAAAACAAATTTATTGCTTACAGTTTCTGAGGCTGGGAAGTCCAAAGTCCAGGGAACACACCTGGTGAGGGTCTTGGTGGTGGCAATAGTGACCCAGGGGTCTCACATTGCAAGATGGTGAAAGCAGAGACAGCAGAGAGAGAGAGAGAGAGATTCTCTTCTTTCTTCTTTTAAAGCCCTGAGAACCATGCCCCTGACCACCATTTTTAATCCATTCACTACTACATGGTCCTATTTTTTTTTTAAATGACTGGTAAGGGGATCTTAACCCTTGACTTGGTGTTGTCAGCACCACGCTCACCCATGAGAGCTAACCAGCCATCCCTATATAGGGATCCAAACCCGTGGCCTTGGTGTTATCAGCACCACACTCTCCCAAGTGAGCCACGGGCTGGCCCTAAGGCTCCAACTTTCAATTACCATAATAGGATTTCTCACCCTCTTAACAGTCACAGTGGGGATTAAACTTCCAATATATGAAACTTGGGGACATAATCCAAGCTTCAGTGAGTCTTGGGGGGACATAATTCAATACACTACGATGCCCAAGACCACACAGCTGGTAAGAATCAGGCTCAAAATTGATATCTGCCTACAAAACCTGCTCCTGTTGAAATGGTGCTTTGCATCCCTGTCATACAGAGTGGGTTAGTAGAGGGATGGAGGGAGAGGGTGGGTCTAGAAAGGAAGGAAAGGACTGCAACAGTGAGGGGTAGGAGCCCATGCAGAGGCATTCAGACCCTCTCCAGAGGGCAGAGGGGAG